GTGCGTGCGTGCGTGCGTGCGTGCGTGCGTGCGTGCGTGCGTGCGTGTGTGTGTGTGTGTGTGTGTGTGTGTGTGTGTATGCCACAGTCCATGTGTGGAGATCGGAGGACAAATTGGGGGACTCAGTTCTCGCCCACAAGGTACGTCCCCAGGTTCAAACTCAGGTTGTCAAGCTTGGCAGCAAGCACCTTGCCTGCTAAGCCATCTCACAGAATTTTGATGGGAAAGTGTGAGGATCAGGTGTCAGGGAAGGGCATCAGCATTGACGCTCCTTCTGAAGAGGCAGAGTCCTGCTGTTGACACCAGATTGAAGCCTGGATCGCCTCGCCTGCCCATTCTCCTCTTCCTGCTCCTTTTCACGCCACCACCCCCTTTTCACAGCATGCTGCTCCCCAAGGCTTCCAGGCTGATGCTGTGGATCGTGGTCAGGCGTTCACTTTTCAAGCAGGATCCTTTTCTGGTTTGTCATTGACTTGAGCCTAGCAGGCTGGTGATTTTATGCTTTGCTGAATAGACTTAACACAGTGGAGAAAACAAAGCCGGTGGAGGACATCAAGGATTGATCAGCCCCTAAGCAAACCTCATGTAGGGACAGCTGGATGGAGTGTTCCTAACCGTTGAGAGTGACAGCCAGGTCCTGGGGGGCGGGGCGTACGTACGTGTGCACCCAAGCAGCAGAGGCAGGTGTGTGTTACCTGGACTGACTGGCAGGCTGTCTAGGTGACCTCACTGACGGAAGAGTGTGTGTCAGGGAGGTCATCTCACAGGGTCTGCTTTCCCTCACTCACTCTGGAACTGCACTCCATGCACTGGCTTGTAACTCATTTCCCCAAAGCCCCGAGAGAATGGAGCAGAAGGTTGTGGTGCCCTGGAACCTAAATCCTTCCAGCACCTTAGGGATCCTCTGCTTTGATGTTTTGGAGCGTAGCCAGCTCACTAAAGCTGAGGGCAAACTGTCAAGACAAGTAAAAACCCACTAGAAATGAAGAAGAATGCCAGATTACCAGTAGGTCAAAAGAACACAATTCGTAACAGATTAAATGTTTGTAAACAAATACCACTGGCAAAGACATAAAAAGAAGACCACACTTTTCTTGCCTAAGACAGAGAATGATAACCTGATAACCGGGGCTGGGGAGACGGTTCAGTGAGTAAAGCCCTTGCCACATAAGCGTGGAAACTGTTTCCAGTCCCCAGCACCCTCCTAAAAGCTGGGCGTGGTGGCTTGTGCCTGTAATCCCAGCTCTGGGGGACATAGTCGAGAACCCTGGGGTTACTAGCTAGCGAGCTGTAGAGATCTAGGTTCAGTGAGATGCCCTGTCTCAAGCACAGTAAGGTAGAAAACCATTGAAGAAGATACTCAGTGTCAACCTCCGGCCTCCACACGCTTGTGCACACCAAGGGCAGGGGAGAAAATTGTGTTACTGTTTCTTTTCTGTTAACTGCATATTAGTTAGCTGTCTCAGTCTGGACGCAGAAACATATGAGCCTGCCTGCACACTGAGCATGCCGTTCTGGCCTTGACCTTCCTCTCCTGCTTCCCAGGTGCTTTGCTGAGCTCTCAATGTTAGAACCAAGGAATCAGCACTTTCTCCTGAACATCAGGAGAAAATCTCCTCACTGAAAACAAGGCCACAGCCCACCCCTCATACTCCTCACTCCTGATTATTGTGGTCCCCCGCCTTAGGTCTGAGCACTGTGGCCCAGAGGACGGGGAAACACTGGGAGCTGGGGTTTCACATGAGTACCTGGGCCTTCCTCTGTCGTAGCGCTGACGGGATCATGGCCACTTCTCTGCTCACGAGCTCCTGGAGCTGCTCCTGTCATATCCTGCTGTGTCAGCCACCTGCGGTCCTGACCTGTTGAGGGTCAGTTCCCCTGGGTACCTCCCAGTTCTGCAGTCTGGATCCTTCGAGTCAAGACACACCACCAAGACGGCATTGCTGTGTCCCGAGGCTTAAGCACCATCCCTTCCCAGATCCATCCAGAGTAGAGGAGGGAAGACTTCGCCCTTCACCCCTGAGATGGCTGCTGGCGTCCGCAGTCAGGGAGAGCTGTCTCCCTGTCCCCAGAGAAGACAGAGGGATGTCACCAGAGCCCTGTGCAGCGTCAGCCTGCCTCATTTCAGGGGTTCCCTCCTGGGAGGACCTCACTGCATGCACAGGTGACACCTGGTCCTCCCGACACCGCTGTCTCACCGTGGGAATTGATGCTCCAGGGGCTGCTAATACAGCATCACTGGCCTGGTTTTTATCCTGTTTTTCTGGAAATGATGGTTGTTTTTCTCTAATCTGAAGAGAAAAGAGAGGCCTTAGATCTTTGTTCTCTCTCCCTCTTTCTCTTCTTTCTTAATTTTCTTAAGTCCCCCTCTCTCTCTCTCTCTCTCTCTCTCTCTCTCTCTCTCTCTCTCTCTCCACACACATACACACACAGAGAGACACATACACACACAGACACATACACAGACACACACACACAGAGAGACACATACACACACATACACACAGAGAGACACCCACCCACCCCCACACACACAGACACAGTGGTAGACTAGCATGTTGGGGCCGAGGCTGAACAGTACTCAAGTCCTGGTCTCCTTCGCCCTGGGCCAGGACCTTTCCCTCTTAAACCAATGTGATCACAGACCACAGGCCAATCTGTATCTGTGGATCTGCTGGACCTGAAACGGATTTCCCTCCACTCCCAGGACACTGAGATGTGGAGCCTTCCTCCAAGGTGTACACATACCCCAGCCTGAGTAGTGCGCACTCTAAGCGGTAGAAGCTCCTTCATGAGAGAGTTGCCGCAGCTCCCCGTGGACTTCTGGATTTGCAGGCTCTCCTGAGGGGAGGAGGAGGCAGATACTGGAGAACTGGCCACAGAGTAGCGTTGAAAATGTTTTTTCGTGGGACTCTAATCTGCTTTGCAAAGTATGTCATTCAGCCTATTGAATTTGTAATGACATGGCGTCCTGCCTGGGCCCTGGAGGATAAGAGGTTTAGAAGATTGTCGTGGATGTTAAACAAGCAATCCGGCCTTGTTCAGAAAGTCTCAGGACCAAATAATGGCAAATGTAAACTACCCCCAGACTCGTCTAGTTAGTTTTTTGCATCGGCACATCCTGCGGGGAAGCCGATGTGGCTCCATTTCATGGTTGAAGAGTCCAGCCCAGAAAGGCTAAGGACATGTTCTCCGTCACACCGAAAGAACTGGCGGCGCTAGGATGTGACTCAGGTGTCCAGTTGCAGAGGTGTTGGCCGCTCTCCAGCACTCCACTGCTGTTCTGGTGACTAGTGGTGTTCCCCCAAAGACCTGGGGCAGATCATTGAGAAGAGTCCGGGGGAGGGCGTGGGAGGGGGTTCCCTGTAACTTTGCGGTTCAGGAACATCCTTGCAGAACAGGATTGCATTACTGTACGCTGGATCCCAGCTCGGGTCATCTCAGAAGGGACACTGCTGCTGTTTTCACTTACCCTGAGTGTCAGCTCGGGCTCTGGGGGTCCCAGGGAACTGGTGTGCAAGCGTCCGTGCAAGCGGGACCGGCTTCTGCGGAGACAAGCTTTCTCCTCAGCTGCCAGTGTGACACAGTGTGACACGACAGCCCACCTCTGAACCGACCAGTCCAGGAGCTGAGACCCTGTCCCTCCAAACACTGGTACACAAGCGGACACCCTGATTGCAGAGACTGGAAACCCACAAGGCTGTTGCAAAGAAAAGAACTCAGGAAGGAAAAATACCAAGAGAGGGAAGTGTGAGTCTGAGTAAAAACTGATGACTCATCGCTGTTGAAGCCTGTTATGACCCTGAGTGGAAAAACAGAACTTGCCTTAAATGAGACGGGTGGTGCCCGTGGGGGCCACGGGCAAAGAGAGCTGGGAATGCAGTTTGTTTTCCTTGGGCAGAATCTGTTCCATGTGGGACTTGGATGGAAAGGAAGGCAGAACGTTCTGGCCCTGGCAGGACAGCGCCCACGAAATGGAAGTGGCAGAGAGGGAGGAAGTAGGGCAGGGTAGGACAGGGCGGCAGGCCGCTCTGGAATCCCCGGGTGTCTTTGGGGTAGTTCGAACCTCGCCTCCTTGCTGCAGTCTCTCCCTGCAGCCTCCCCCACTTCAGCCTCCCCTCCTGCAGCCCCCCACCCCCCCGCCCCCATCACAGGCTTGAGCTTGATTCTTTCCTGTTAGGCTTTCGAATTTCTTTTCAGTCACCGACTTAAACAACTTAGGGGCATGTCACCTTCAAGAGTCAGAGTAATGCGTGGACCATTTTTTGTCCTTAAGCAAAGAAAAGGATCCCTGAGCTACCAGGGATTCTGGCCCCTAGCCCCCCCAGTTGTCTCTGGGGTCCTGGCCTGTGACTGCTGGGTGGCCCCAGGCAGATCACTAAGCTTTGGTGCCTGTTTCCTGGTCTGGAGCCCAGCCTTTTTACATGTGTCTCCTTCTCTGCTGAGACATTTGTGGTGGAACATGGGAGATGAAAACGAGGATCTGTCGTTTTGAAAAGCGGTTGGTCAAAGCTCAGTAAATTTCCGTATTCGCGGGGCTCCTGGAGCCCAGCTAAAGCAAAGCAGAAGTTGGTTTACAGGAAGCTTGCTGGTTGGTCCTTGCAGAACCATCTCTGTCGGGAGACTAGTTTCCAGAGGTTTAAAATTTACTCCACTCCAGGATTAGAGGTGCTGTATAGTTTTTTTTAATTTAAAAGTGTTAGAATTTATTGACTTATTGTGTGTATGAGTATTTTGGCTGCATATACATGTGTGCACCATGTAGGTGCCTGAAGCCTGCAGAGGTCAGAAGAAAGCATTGGATTTCCTGGAACTGGAGTTACAGATGGTTCTGAGCCTCCGTGCGAGTTCCGGGAACCAGACCCCAGTCCTCTGCAACAGCAGAGAGTGCTGTTAACATCTGAGCCACCTCTCCAGCCTCATGCTGTAAAGGCTTCACAGAAAATCATTGTGCAATATTTGTACAGAGCACAGGAAGTGTGTGCTGGGCCCAGTAGTACGCTAGCCCCACCTCACGGGGTTACTTTCACGCTGCACATTTTTGTGCACCCAAACGACGCGCCATTGCTGCGGTCATCTCCCAGACTGAGGCCCGGCAAGCACAGTTTAACAAACAGCCCCAGAGATGCAGAGCTGCATGGATGCATCCCCTTTTCAGTGCCCGACATGGAAGGCATTGCCATTCAACATTCTAATGAGAGCAAGATAAAGGCATGCGATAAAATGCAGCCACTGCCGTCCCGAGAGTTAGAATGAGATAGGAGCCCGATTTCACATGTTTATTCTTTTACCTGAGTGTCTGGCCTGGAGCCCAGGACAGAATCTCTCTCCCGAAAGGGCTGTGTTAATTAGTGACTATAGTTTGCAGTCTCCCCGTACTGAAAATGCTCAGGACCTCTTGTGGATTTTTGTTTCTTTGTTCCCTTATTTGTTCAGCTGTGTGTGCATGTGTGTTGGTATGTATATACAAGTGCGGGGAAAGGTGGAGGCCGGAGGCATCTCTGGAGCGGGAGTTACCAGTAGGGGTCACCGTGGTGGCCGGAGGAAACAGAGCCATGGCTGTGCAGGGCATGTCTGTCTGGATTGCTTCACCACTGACATGCCTCACAGCCACATGAGGGGTGGCTGTCACTTACAGTGTTGGGACTTTATGACTGGGCACATAACACGTAAAGAGGATTTCTTGGGACCTTGAACTCTGGCCACCTAACGCTATGGCTTTGGTGACTGATACCGGCTCTGTGGGCTTCTTCCTCATTGATGACCTTAGAGGATGGTGAGGACTCTTCATCTCAGAAAAGGGCTGTCAATCACTGGGTACTAGGGTGAGAAGACAATTCCTTTAGTGGTTAAAGCGTCTTCATAGACGGTGACCAGCCTGGGTGCAATGTGGCAGCTGACAGCCACCCTCCTGCCGAATTTAATATTTAGAGTTGCCATAATAGAGAGGAGCTAGATTTAAAAGATTCTTTCTTGGTGCCTGAAGACATCTAGACTTCAATTTAGACTTGCACACTGGCTGTGTTTCTGAGTTGGGTTTTTTTTTTCTTTTCCATTTTTGGGCCTATTCAGCCTTATTTTCTCACTGATTCTTCATGGATGGCATATAATTTCTGTATCTCACTGTCATACCCTCTTTGTCCCTAAAATTTGGTATGTAAAAATTACATAAGCCATTGGATATCACACTTGCAAAACCCTGACCACAGTATTCACTTAGCCAGGGCAACGTTGCCGTGAGGTGGACACCAAGCAATCCTGGGCCAATATGTGTTTCCCCTGTTGGAGAAATTAACAACATTGTTTATCTCTGCTAAATCCGGGCATGATGTATCAAGAGACATGCTGTCAGGCCCAATTTAGGATCATCAGATTAACTATTACTCATGACAAGTTGACGTGTACAGAAAGTGATAAATAGCTCCTGTTGAATTCTGCGGCAGGTTCTCATGGTTAGGGGCACAGGTGATGAGCTAGGCTGATGCCCTCCCCCCCCCCCCCGCCCGCCCGCCTGATGCAGCCTGCCTTCTTCTTCCCACGGCGTCAGGGAACTGGTCCTCCAGACTCAGTCCCGCACACGCTCTGTGATGCTTGTGTTTACGCGTTATTATATCGCTTGAGAGGCTCTTTACCTAGTTTTGACTCAACCGCTATTTTCATAAGTATTGGGGGGAGGGGACAGAGGGCTAGAAGGAGGGCTCAGCGGTCACGAGCCCTTGCCGCTCTTCCAGAGAATCCAGGTTCGATTCCCAGCACCTCCATGGTGGCTCACAAACCATCTCTAAACTCCAGTTCCAAGGGACCCAGCACCATCTTCTAGTCTCCGAGGTCATCAGGCACATGTATGTGGTGCACAGATATATAAGCAGGCAAAACTACCATCCACATAAAAGAAAAGAAAAGAATTTTTAAAGAATTTTTAATGGGTGGTAGAATGTTTGCCTAGCACCACCAAAATAAAAAGAAGGCATCTGCCCGGTCCTGGGGACATTGTCAGTGGTGGGTCTCAAGGTCAACCGCTGTCAGCTGTCACCACTGACCTGCTTCCACACCTCCAAGTGGAGTAAGCCCCAATGCAGGGCAGGCACATTGCCCAGTCACGGTTCCCCTTTTCATTTTCGAGTAGGAAAGCGCTCAGCAGACCCAGGAGCTCCCTGTTCAATAAGTGTGCCGTGCTTTTTTTTTTTTTTTTAACTTACCGTCCATCAGAAGGCTTGCCTCTCTCCCTGCCCTAGTGATTTCTAATTGAGGAGCAGCCGCTGCCTCCCTGGCTCCAGGACTGTGTCTCTCTCCGTACACTGAGCATGCCTGCTGCCTGGAGCGACCGCTCGCGATGTTCCCTCCGCCCCTGGGGCAGAGGGCATGATGGTGGGCGCGTGGCCAGGAGAGGAAGAGTTGGGTGCTGTTAGCCTCAGCCCCGTGGGGCCGGGGAAAGGCATCCCATCTCCTGGAGCCCGAGGTTCTGGGTCAGGAATGACACACAATAAGAATCTCTCATGTGGAAAGACGAGCATTTTATGGGTGGTGGTCGCTGGTGGTTCTCAGATGTGTGTACACTGATGGCAGCTGTAACCAGCTCATCCACCCACAGCTGTCACGCTGTCCACTGCGAGGAGCCGGCACTGGGGCCACTTGTGTTGAAAGCACAAAGGCGCAGCAGCTAGCAAGCAGCCCAACCGAGATTTCCAGCCTGGCTCGCCCTTACCACAGCCTGGGCATTTTCCCCTGGCCAGGCCACAGGCTCCATCCGCCCCCAGCCTCCACCTAAGCCAGGACACTGGGCTGAGAACATTCTTTGTACGGCATCATCTGAAGCCGGCTTCTTAGCATGCTGGGCCTCACAAGCACTCCAGTAAAGAGTCTGGTGGTCAAGGGGTCCAGGGCATCCAACAAACACCCTCCTGTGGCACGTCTCAGAAGTTCACAGGGCACTATGGCAT